CCTTCATCCTATTGTGGGCTAACGATAATTGGAATTACGATTGGCAGTGACAAAAGAACTTAGCGAAAACTGAAATTTCAGTATGCCATCAAGACAAAGAAGAAGACTTATAGTCTGACTTGCGTACAGAGTTATCGCCTTCTCTGCATACTCGGTACAGTGAGGCGCGGAAAGCTGACGTATACTCGATGCGGAATTCATTCAGAGAACTTGCACTGTGACTGCCCGTCTGTACGCAAGGTATTCTATATGTCTACTCGTCATTTGTTTGAGAAAACATCATGTGTCTGAGAAGATGTAAAAGCGTGAATGAAAATCCAACCCCTGAATAAGACATCTTTCAGAAATGAAAGGATTACTCTGAGGATCCTCTGAAATAGGTCTCTGCGAATCCTGATGATTGCAACGAGACGTTTTGGAACGGAAGTAGACTCGTATTCATGATGCCATAGCATTCCCCGATTGCACCTTATAGCATGCCGACTTCCTCGCTGGAATTTTTTTTTACTGAATTTTTACAGTTTCATCTTTCTCCTTATTTTCGTATCATCGTTGTGTTCATTCATAAACTAGCAATTCAAGCCATTTAAGATTCGTGATATTCGTTCAACTGTGATGGGTTTTGATTTATTGGGGAACTACAGCGTGGATAAGCCAATGATTGCATTTTTTGCATCATCTTTGACTTAGATTTCAGAAGAGTTTTCAGTGGTTTGATGTTAGAAACTTTCATATGTTAATTAAGATCGATACGACTCGAAAATGGTTCTATCATGAGTTTGTATTCGATCAGGCTTTCAACATGTATAAGCGAAACGAGTTGTTATATAGATATATGTATATTGATACTGATGCTGATGTTTAGATTTTTTAAATCTAATTCAGTCGACGAATATGCTCGTTCTGGAAGTGTTGCTGCGGAAGCTTTCAAGATAGATGCGGGTCCTCTAGAACAGTTTCAATTCTCCATCGAACCGTATCTCAGAAAATTAGGCATGCCTACAGTACTTGAAAGAGGTTTGTATGTTGAAAGTTGCAGTCTGATTTTACTCTGTAAAAATAGGAATTATTAAACTGCCGCAAGAATATACAGTTTGTGAAAAAGGAGATATTCTCACTCCGGAAGCTGCAAAAATTTTGGTAAGTTATGTAACAGCGTTTTCTTTACTCTGCACTTTAATCCTAATTACTTTGCTTGTGTTTTTTGCAGATATTGTGTTTGTTTCACGTTCAAGAAATTAACTTTCGCCAAAACTTAGGTGCCAGCAGGAGAACGAACCCTATAATTGACCCACTATGCTAGGGTACTGGTGGTACATTTTTACACCTGTTTTTGTTCATCTTTTCAAAACACAGTAAATGCTTAGTTTGCGGCACTATTTCATGAGATCACTGAACGGTCGGGATGGTTTGATTTACTGATTACTCACTAACCAAGAATGCAAACAATGAAGTGCATAGTGACACGGAGCAGTTGGACGACTCTTTAAAGCAGAAAGGCCATATTGGCAGAGTTCGTAGGAAGGTGTTCTGCGGGATAGCTTCTATGAGCTTGACGGGTTAAACTGCACTTTGGTTTTAATATGTTTTTAATCTCTTATATACTCAGACTTCTAGTAGATGTTCACCTGTTTCGTACTAGTTGCATTTTTTTCTTGCCTGTAATGTGAGTTCCTGCATTTGTAATTCACTTCGGCATCGCGGACCTAATCCATTGGTTTTATACCTAGGAGCTGCAGCTTACATTTCATATCGAGTGATGGCAGATATTTGTGGTTTCTGGCCCCTGACAGCGTGCTTTAAATCACCTCCTAGCACTGCTTTTTCTGCATAACACATAAGGTGAGTCAACTCCCACGATTTGTCAAATTTAACGTACATCGAAAATCTGGTCAGTATGCTTCGATCAGGCTGAAAGCCACACTGCTGCTATTAGTTGTTGCAATTTTTCAATTTTGCAACTATTTGACGTTATGCCTTGACAAAATGGCAGACTTTTTCTGTGTGCCTCAGAATGTTAATACCCCGCGGATTCCCTATGATTTTCCATTGTTAAACAGTACTATGGCTCCTGTCCGCAAGCCTACTGGAGTTTCCCCGTTGTTGTTGCGGTTTGACAGGTGGTCGTTAATCACAACATGTTTTTGTTCCTAAGGCTTTCGCCAATTTCAGTCGTCCTGTACATTTTTCTGAAACTTCATTGCTTTTAGGGTTTCAGGTACTGAATGGTTAATATCCAGTCTTCGAAAGCACTTCAGATAAGTCTCCCTGCGCCCATGTTTTTTTTTTGAGACCCTCTTCGAAATGTTTTCTTTTTCCTGGGTGTCAAGATGTACTGTTAAATCCTCGTAGGCTACCCATAGGACATTTTTGAATTAGGTATTCGATCCTTGATCCTGATACCTTAGGAGACGATGACCCACAAACCACCTATCCTTCCGTTTAGTACCTCATGTGATCTACCACAATACTTACTTGCGCTCTGGAAATTTGACACCAACCAATCACATTCATACCTACCGGCTTTTGCTTTAGCCAATACTCTTTCACCTGTCACTTTTTGTGCTTCTTCGAAAACGTTTCGTGCTGAAGACTGTCTGTTTCCAAGCCAGTTCTTGAATGCAACCTTTACCTCGCATGCAGCCAAAAGAACCTTAAGTACCCATCAAGAACTTAGTTTCTGATCACCAGGCCCCACTTGAGTGCACATTATACAACCGTATTGAGCAGCAGCCCCGAGAAGCTCACTTCCAGAACGCTGTAACTCAGATTCCACGGGATTGGTAAAATCGTTTTTGCTCTCAGCCAGTTGCTCCCTTAGAGTAGCAAGAGATAGAAATTTTCACTTGATTCTGTGATTCTTTCTGGTAGTGCGCCTCTTTTTGTGCCCCATCTGCCATAGTGAATGGAGCGAACAAGAAGGTCATGATTGGTTTGCAGTTTAAGGCGTCTCTCAATGTGAACAGAGCTTCGTGGGTCCACTGATTCGACGATGAAATCGATCCGTGACATTAAGATGCATCCAGGTGCCAGTTCTACTTATTCATATTTCGAAACTCCATTGTGTTCATAATGGACCTTTGATTGCAGATGGTTACACAGAAGCGCAGGTACTCATCCTAATATTGAGAAGATCGAGAGTACCTTTCTGTCATCATACTTTTCCTCGCAGAGATGTTTGTTTCGACGTGCGTGTTGAGGTTCTCGTTAGCTTTAACGAATAAATATCAAGATTTGATAAGGAGTACCGTCTACCTCGTCCATTAAGTATTGTGCTTCATTGTTAGGGATGTAGACTTATGTCAACATTAAAGCTTTACCGTCTTACGATGTAAGCTGTAGAGCTGCGACGCCTCCACTGTCAGGTTCCCATTCACTGTTTTTTGGTGGGTTTTTGCATAATCAGTATGAGTGCAAACGTTTGAGAGCGAATCGACACATGAGTAAAAGTGCTTCCAACCCCCGTATGAAAGTTCGATAATCCAGAGCCTTGGCGCTTTATTCCCTTGATTTCAGCGAAGTAGATTTGGTTCTTGCGATTTTGCCTATGAACTCCTGCTAGTTCTCCCCCAACGAGGTTACGTTTCATATTCTGACTTTTGAAGGGTTGTACCAGATTCTGAAGGTTGTATCTTTCCTCCAGGACCTGCCTGCTTTACTGTGTTGTCACTGCGCTATTATTATATCCTGTAGGAGGACGGGCAGCGATAATTGCTGACTGATGCCATCTCCTCGCTAGTGGATATGTTGTTCCGAACTGGTTTACGGTGTTCTGTGCCCCTAGGCGTCACACGACATGAAACAAATTTCGCTAGCCGCTGACTGATCCGAGCGCTTCAGTTCCCTAACTTGTTTGCCCGGTCGAAAGTCGACCTGGCATGTAGAGGCTTTATGACTATTCTTGCATGGAAAGACGAGACGTAGTTCTGATTTTACAGAGACTTTTCTGAAGCCCCTCTGACTGTTCTTTGTTCTAAACCGTGCTTGACGAAGTTTCATTTCCTAACTCGATGTATATTGAATGTTAATTTATAGCACCATACATTTGCTTTTTTCTGGGCAGTGAAGCGAATATTTTGATACTTTTTCTTTATCATTGGAATTGTTCTGCTACGGTTACACAGAATCAAAAATGCTAGTGATCACGATGTTTCAATATACGTGTTTTAAATGACTGTGAGATGTTTCAGTCTGTTTTACAGTTCACCATGTCACTGTTAATGGGTAACACCATAGCCATGAAATGCAGTCAGAACGTCAGTTATCATGAAATATTGGAATAGTCTGGCAATGTGATGGTGATTGATTCTCGTTTAGAAGAAGCATTTAATGTGAAAATCTGTTCCTTCTTTCGTGTGACAAGAAACCAGCTATAAAGCTTTATAGTTCCAACTGCAAGTGGAGTTTATTAGCTTGTGCAATGATTGTTGTTATCAGCATAAGCATATCCGTTACTCTAGAGCATTAAACAAGCCCATGAGATTTATTTACACAGAAGGCTAATTGCAAGGTAGAATATTGTGCTAGTAGTTGCTCTTATAACTCTGGCTGTCTCAATGTCCTTGCCACGAAAGTCCAATAGTCATTCTAATGCTGCCTTTGAAGTGCCCAAGTGTCGCTTTTGTTCCTCTGCAGGGATGATCCCTTATACTCAGATGCTGATCATATTTTTGGGATTTCGATTAGGATTTTGATCGTTTTTGCTTCTCCATGATCGCACTGAAGCGATTCTTCGATCTTCCACTTGTGACGAATATATTTGCATTTACGTTTTGTACGGTCCAATGTCTTTGGATCAAGTAAAAACTTCAGAATTCTTCTTAAATGGTTAGCTAAACATTTTCCATATCTCAGACAAAAAAGTATTGTTATGTTTCATATTAACTAACAGTGAAGAATCGTTTACGTTGAACAGTCTTTGGTTTCAGTCAGATGCGGGCACCAGACGGACGCACCAGGCAGCTCATCGTCAGTCAGAATCTTTTTATATCTCCAGTTGCAGCTGCATCTTGCTCTAGGGTGTTTGGTAGTAATTTTTCCATACAAGGTAGAAATATTTTGGGAATCGTTAACTGTGAGCAGTATGACACTGGCTTGAGTAACCATACGATGGTACAGAATGTATAGTAAAGAGTATACTATGGTATAGTAAAGAGTATACTGAAAGAGTATACTGAATGTGTATAGTAATTAAAGAAACATTTTCTTTTGCAATATTGCTCCCAACGACAGAATGGCAGAGGTAAGTGACCTTTAATCGAATTTGTGAAAGCATGAGTTTACATATGGGGCAATAACATTTTCTCAGCACTCAATATTATAATTTTTAATTTTTGGTGATTTTTAAACTGCCTAAATTGTATTCGCTGGAAATTCTAAGCGAATATTTTAGAGGTTATTCGGCGTCAAGATGGCCCATTTTCGGCTTCGCGTTACATGTTTTTGGTCGAAGGATGGAACCTGCAAGTTTCTAAAAAAGCCCTTAAAAAGAACATCGAACAAGTTGTCTAGGGGTGATAAAAAAGTGACTGCGTAATAAAATGCGTTTGTTTTCCTTCAGTCTAAATTGGTTGCTATCGTAGTATTTCAGAACTTTGATGAAATACTATGGCACAATTATCTTTTTAATTAGACGACGTTTCTAATTTGCTTCGTTCACAATGGCTTCATTGTTTGATCTCTTATTGTCTTTCATAAGCATTAATTTTGGTCTGACAGAAAATAGAATGACTTCCCGCTCTTTGATCATAAATATTTCAGTCCTTTAATGCTCTCCGTAAATTCAGTTACGATCAGATTAAATAAAGTCGTAAATTTTCTCATGAACTGTGCATGATCACGTTTTTTCAATCATACCTATAGGTCATATGCAAAAAATCTATTTACTAGTTCGGAATGCGCAGCTAAGTAAAGAAAGGTAAATTTTTTTTCGCAAACAAGACTTTTTTCAAGAAGAGCAATGTGGCTTCCGGCCCGGTCGAAGCACCTCTGACCATATATTTGCCCTGCGCCAGAT